CACACACACACACACACACACACACACACACAGGGGGGCGCTGCAGCCGTCATAAATATGAGCCGCTTGCCAAGCTGCGACGGTCGTAAGTGTGGAAAAACACCCCTAAGTCACTCTTTTCCCCGTGCCGCTGTAAATTCGAACGGTCACTAAATGGAGAGTTGTGAGTCAAAGGATTCACAGTACGCACAACCGAAGGCGGAATCTGATTGGGGCCCAAGATTCGGAGACGTCCGAATTGTGCGTATTACAGCACAACATTTCGGAGTTCGGTTGTTCGCAGTTCTGCTTAGCCGGAAGCCAAAAATTAGGATTATTTTCCTCCTTGGTTAAAAAAAGTTGTCTGGGCAGGAACTGTGTGTTAATTAAGATACGCTAATTGGGATAATTAGCCAAGGGAGGGTGAGTTTTCTCCTGCTGGGACGGTCCGTTCTCTCCTGCGCAGGCTCAGCTGGGGGACAGCCAGCTCACCCCCGAAGTGGGCTACCTGATCCTCAATTCGCTCTGCCCCGCCTTGCGGGCCCTGGTGAGTGACGGCCTGAAGCCCTTTCAGAAGGACGTCATCACGGGACACCGGCCCAGTTCTCCGTGGAGTGTCATCGAAGCTTCGGCTAGGCCAGGTAGGGGGTGATGGGGAGGTTAGAGAAACAGGAGTATTTCTGACCACAGACCTTATCTATCTTGGAAAGCTGCCATGTCAATATTTTCCCAGATGAGGTTGCTGTGCAAGGAAAGATTCTGGGCACAGAGTCTCTGAGATTCACGGACAGATCTTCACACTCCTGAAAGGAATCGAACGAATGAATGAACGAACGAATTGTTTCCTGTAAAAGCCCACTCCCCTTTCTCTCCTCTTTTATTTCCTCTGGAAGTGTTTCGTGTGGAACGTAGTCTGTGTTTGTGTGTGTGAGTGAGAGGGGGGGGGGAGAGAGATGGACGGAGAGGATGGGAGGGAAAGAGAAGGAGAAAGAGGGGCGAGGGAGAGAGAAGGAGAGAGAGAGAGGAGGAGTGAGGGAAGGAGAAAGAGAGAGTCACGAACCAATGAAGCGAATTAATGGTCTCCTGCAAACTCCACTCCCCTTTCGCTCCTCTTTTATTCCCTTTGGGAGGGGCCATTCACCGTCCACCTGTGGCCTCACTCCCAAGTCGAGCCCTGTTCTTTAGCTGTTCCTTTCATCTGGCAGCTCTGCGCATGCGCCCACTGGGAACAGGCTCCAGCTGTTCTTCTGCCTCACTGATGTCTGACTCCGAAGGCAGCTGATAACTGTCAGACGGCCCTGGCCCCCACTCTGCCTCCGACACAGAGCCCTCATCAGAGCCTTCCCCAGACTCCAGGACTGGCTCAGTTTCCTCCCCAACCCTCCTCACTCTCCGAATCTGCTGTCAGTTCCACTGCCAGGCCACAACAAGCACAATGTCAGATGCTACTTCATTTAATAATCAGGAAAGAAACCACTCAATTCCATTTGCATGAGATTAAGTGTACTTTTACTAATTAAAAAACGAATAGTAGCGAAGCAAAGCTGAATCTGGTCAATTAGGCGCGAAA